TGTCAATGGACAGACCCAGACTTAAATCCCAGCTCTGCTGCTGCTCCCTGGCTTTGTGACTCTGGACCTCGGGCTCCCCGGCTACAGATACAGGCGATCCTGTGAGGGCCTGAATCTCAGAGGGCTGGTGTGAAGATGGAACGAGCACACCTGTGTCCATGCACACCATCAGCACCAAGGGCCCCTGGGTCGTCAGTGGACCTGAAACAGACAGCTCTGAGCTAGAGTCAGCCGATCCCTGGGGAAGATGCCAACAAGGGCAGATATTAGCAAACTCCACGTTCCAGAAGTGCTGGAGGGATAGAGCGCACTAAGCTCCAGAGAGAACGGAGCCCAAGGTAAAGCAGCCCAGTGCTCACAGGAGAAAGCTTAGGACAGGCCACTCACCAGCTCTACAGCTCAGCCTATAGGCCAAAGGCTGGGACTGGACCAATATCCTGGGATTCCATGCAGTCCTGCGGCCACTGATCTGCTCACTCCAGGCTCAGACAAACACTGGGCTTCAAGAGCTCAGCCACACCTGGACCCTCAGAGGCACCTGGTGCAGAGGCCAGCCTCTAGCAAGCACTTCCTGAAGGGTATGGGCCACCTTATCAGAGCACTTAATCCTCTCCCCTGATACCAGAACAATTGAACAAAAAGTCTCTCCTGGCTCCAAGAAGCCTCTTTCAGGCTCTTACTCCGTTCTGCTCCTTCTGAAAATAAAGCCGCCAATCCTTCCTCCCCCAGTCCCGGACCCACACACCCCCGGGATGGCAAGACCCACCAGCCCTCTGGGCTTTCGCACAAGATGATGACCCTTCCCAGAGCACTTGAAAGTCCACCTTGCCAACCTCGAGGGAGTTCAGCCCTCACTCCCGCACTCGCCTGGGCTTGCACGTGCCAGCATCACTGTTTCCTGCCAACCTCCATCTGCATAAAATTAAACTCCTGACAGATCCCAGGATGCGAGGACCCGCCCGGCCAGCTCTCTGCACACTATCAGCCAGCGTGGCCACAATCCGGCCAAGGCTTTGCACTCAGCCTCAGACCCACCCTCCCAAGGATGTAGGAGTAAGGCATTCCCAGGAAATGAGAAGACCCCATGTTCCCTCCCCCCACTCATTCCTGGGGCTACTCCCACTCAGTCCTCCCTCTCATGAGTACTCTCTCACCCTGCCCCTCCCCTGTCACCATAAAGCAGCCACTTCTGAGAGTTTGTGGGCTACCCAGGGGCAGGAATAGCAAGGCCACACTGCAGGCGGGCCCCCACTCTTCCTCATGGACTACCAGTCCCAGCACACACTAGACTCCGGGTGGGGAATGTCCAGCCTACACATAAGGCCCCATGAAATCAATACCAGCTAGCATCTCAGACCTCACCAAAGAGAAGCCCGTTCAGCAATCACATTAGGGGCAAGTTAATTATGTGTTTGACCAGATACAGCAGGCTAGTTTTAAAGTTGGTCATTGTGTGTAGCCCTCGAACGATGTTATAAAGATCCAAACGGCCCCTGGGCAGAAAAGGCTCCCCACCCCTGCACACAAAAGTTCTTCAAGGAACGTACAGAGATCAGCTGTGGCCAAGCTCAGCCCATGGCAGCGTAAACACTCCCAGGCGCTGTACCTCCGAGGCTGTGACAAGCCAGGAGGGCTTATCAGAAGCTGCAGCTGATGCCCTGGCTCAGTTGTTCCCATTGCTGCCTACAGTTGCACCCCAAGTGCTTGGCATGGCCTAGTCTGACAGCGTCTCTGGGATGAAGCCCGAGCCAACTCGCCTCCAGCCTAGCTATGTGGCTCCCTTGGCTGGAGCACCTGTAGGCAGCTAAGCCCTCAGAGAACACAAAACCCTGAGAAGAAAAAGCCTCAAAGCCTCAAATGTCCTGTGATTAGAACAACGTACACAGCTGGCTGGACCCTGAGACCCAGCAATCACAGGGAGAGACTGCACCCTGAACACTTGGGGGCAGGTTACACACAAGCCAGAGAAAACTCTGGGCCATACAACAGAGAACTGCAGCAGGGAGGGGAGCTGTTGACCTCAATAAGTTACAGGTTGACAAGAGGCGACTTATAGAAACATCCTATAAATTCTTAGGCTGACAGGGGCTCTCTAAAAAGTCTGGGACATTTCAGAATACCCCAAGTTCCAAAGTGCCCACCACCACTACCAGCCTGGTTCCCGGGGCCAGGTTCTCCTGCAAACAGGCTGGGGCAGCATGGAGCCTCTACGTGGAGCAGCACACGCCCAAAGGGTCTCTGCAGCAGTGATATCAGCCCAGGTCCTAGGAAGGACCCCAATGCTCTCCTACACCAAAGGAAAGGTGCCAAGTGCGAACCCAGCGGCCAGGCACCCGCCTGCGCTGCCCAGCAAAGCCCTGACCCCAAACTGCTATAAGGGCACCGTACCAGGCACTCTCCTCCCACTCCAGACCCGTGCAGATCGAGTCCATGGGCCGCTTGCCCCTCTTGTCCCTTCTCCATCACCTGGCTTCCACTGCTGCTGTGGTTAGGGGCCGCGGAGTCAGCTCCGCCCCGAAGCGACCTGGTGCACCAGAACGAAGCACTGCCCAGTCCTGTGCCATCCTCAGCATTGTTCCTGTGCTCGCACGCACACAGGCTGCTGCTCTGTGCTGGGTACTTTTCCTCTGGGTTGGGGAGGGGGTGGGGGCACCTCTGGTCCAGCTGCCCAGCGCTCCCCCTTTCTTCCCTCCCTCCCAGCCCAGCACTCACCTCCAAGCTGCTCAGAGACCTTCCCCTTCCCCACTGGGCTAGCAGCTCCCCGCAGTGTCTGGCACACAGAAGGGTCTCTTTGTTGAAGTTGTTAACTGACCACCGCGGGTCTCTCGGGTCTCTCGGCGGATAAGGAGAAACCACCCGGGCCTCGACAAGCGATGTCTGGAACGGAGAACAGCCTTTCTGAGACAATCAGCCAGTGAACTGGGCACCGAGCTGTGGGCCCGGACCCGCCAAAATCCCGGACTCCCACCAACACGAGGGGGCCCTTCGGGCCAGGGCGACGCCCCCACCTCCTGCCGAGACTGCTCTTGGGGCCGGGCCACCCTGTCCAGGGGAGCCTGACCCGCCAGCGCGGCCAAGTTCCCCGCCCAGCCCTGTTCCTGCTCGGCCGGGGACCGGCCAGAAGGGCGCCGCTGGCTGACCTCAGCCCCAGCTCGGGAAGGGAACGCAGGCGGCGAGACAGGAACCCAGACGGCGGTCCAGACAGGCCCGGCTGCGCTGCGGACCGCGGCCCAGGCGCTCCGGGACGGCGGC